CTATACGAGAAAGTGTTCCAGGACCGCAAAACATAGTATACTTTCGGTGATAGCCAAAAGTATAATTATTATAGAAAGATATATATATTATAAAAACTGTGCCTTTGGATAACACCAGGTAAATATACAATTTCGGCACTACGTGCCTCAAAGCTGGCATTCGAATGCGTCACTAAAAACCAGATCATGAATACTGTTTCGACACATCGTGCCTCATCCTCGAATTCGAATGGGACGTAAAAAGCGAAATTGGTCTATTTATATGTTTTTGTAGCAATTGATTAGACTACTCAATCAATGCATCATCCAAAACCAGATCACGAATACTATTTTGGCATTACGTGCCTCAACTCCAGTATTCGAATGCAACATACAAAGCCAAAATACAGATTTCCAATTCGATATTTCATCGCCTAGAAAATGTATTATTTATAGTGGTATAGGAGATTCGTATTTTTTACGAATTAGTTTTTTGGTCAAGAAGTGGGTCTATTTATACGTTTTCGAAGTAATTTATTAGACTACTCGATCAATGTACCATTTGGTTACGAAATAGACTAATTTATTAATAATTACATCATTGCGCAAATGACATCGAATTTGTGGATCAATCGTCATCCAATCAACAACGAATTCGTGGGTCAAATCGTTATCCAAATGACGTCGAATTTGTGGATCAATCGTCATCCAAGCGACAACGAATTCGTGGGTCAAATCGTAACCCAAATGACGACGAATTCGTGAATCAATCGTAACCCAATGATGACGAATTCGTGAATATCAAGCCAACTAGATACCAAAACGTGTACCCAAAAATAATTAGGTAACAGTCTAATCATAAGTATGCAACAGTCTAATCATAAGTATGTAACAGTCTAACGTAAGTAGATAACACTATATATATAGTGTTATCTACTTGATTTTTTCTTGTTGCTGATGCTAGGCTTCTCATATTAATTAATCGAAAAAGTAAATTTATTGTTTGCTAAGATCTCCACATTAATTGATCGAAAAAGGAATAGATAGTTTTTAAAATATAACGATTTTATCTTAATATATATCACAATGACAAAAAAATAAAAAAATTCTTCTTGTAAATAATTATTAAATTCATGTTGGTTTCAACACACACGGAAGAAGATAGCAGAGAAAACCAAATACAGGTTAAAAGATCAGCAAGAAAAAAAAACGGAAGGTTACAATCCATTCATTGATCTGTGAACACTTTGCAATTTAGCATATCTCGAAAATAGAAAATCAACATGTCATGTTGATTTTTCTTTTCCTATGAATCTTTGACCCAATAAATAATAAATACTTTTTAACCAAATTAAGTCATGCTTAACCTAATTCATTTTAATTAACTGTCTATGAACAAGGATCAGCATCACAAAAATGAAAAAAATAGTATAGATAAATAAATGTATTTTGCATTTTTTTTTTTTTTTAAAGAATATTGGGAAAAAAAAGGTTACTCTTGGGAATGTAGAGAATTTGTAAAAGTTGAATTGTTCCAAAATATTCGTGATTAACTTCAAACTGTTTAAATAAAACTTGTACATTTTTTTATAATTGGTTAAATGTTGGGTTAGAGAAATACATGGAAGAATTTAGTTGAAGCTTCCTTTTCCCAAAAATAAAGTATATCAGCGTAATTTGTTTAGGCAAATCAAACTTTCTTATCAAATTTACACACTTTGATAAGAAGGTAAGACTCGCTTGATAATCAGTGAAATAAATAATCGAATAAACGTTTAATTTAAATATAAATAGTCATTTGCTTACTAAGTAAATCGATGTTGTTGCATTAATAAGAAAATGTTGCACGTAGTATTAGTATTAGGAAATGTTATTCCGTTTATCTCAAATGTATACATTTAAATTTTCGTAATCATTTTCAAATTAATACAAAATGTAAAGAATTTTTTATGCAAGATAATTATTGTTATGCATGAACAAACTTTAAATGACAATTGCAACTGAAATATTTAACCAAAACTATTTAATTAAAACATTAACAAACAGACTTTGAACGAGGAAGAATAATTGGACATTGGGAAGCAGTTGATAGCATTCATGACATTGTTGGTACGCTTAATCATTCTCAAACACAAATAACTCATGCAATAAAAGTATTTAAGATCGAACTACTATTTGCTCTTCCAAAAAATACAAATGAATTAGTTTCTTATTTAATGGATGAGTGGGCTGATCTCGATCCTGATTATTTGCAAAAAATTATAGACAGCATGCCACAAAGGGTCCAAGCTGTAATTGATTCAAAAGGAAACCCTGCAAAATATTGAATAAATGAAAGAAATATTTATATTTTTTGACTCTTTTGATGTAAATTCAATAAAGATTTATTATGTAAAATGTCATGTAAATTGTGGATGAAAAATTTTTTTATTATTTTTACATTTTGTATAAATTTTCTATGAATATTCGTGAAAATTCAAATGCATACAAACGGAATAAAATTTCCCAATGTGTTAATATCAAAATGCGACTTTTTCTAAAAAATTTTAATTTGCCTTTTTTTAAACATTAAACATCAATAACAATCAGTCCTTTTAAAGTGTTATACAGTGACAATTATATTAATATTGAACGTTCATTCGATTATTTTCACTGATCGTCATCAAGTGAGTCTTACCTTTCTTCTAGAGGATAAAATTTAAAGAATTCACTCGTTTCTGCTGTTATAAAATTTATATCGCGCTTGTACTTTAATGGAATAAACAATCAAATATTAACAAATAGACCTATATTCCTATGCCATAAAGGTCTCCCTCCTCCTTCTTAAAACTATTTATTTACGCATTATTTTCGAATTAAAAATTTTCGTGTTACCCAAATTTGATCGAGTAATAATACAGTGAACCCTTGTTTCAACGAAGTATAATTAAATTTTTGATACAACGAATTTTTAAAAACGCTGTCACACATTATGAAAACATATAAAAATTCGTTGAAATGCGATTAGTAACCTTGTTTCAACGAATGTTGAATAAAATTTTCTTATATGTTCAGCCACTTCGTTGAAACAAGGGCAGACTGTAATAATGTTACACCGGCAAACCCGACAACTGAATTCTCATTTATTAATTAGAACAAATTCACATTTCATGCGTAAAAAATAAAATAAAATAGTAAATGATTTTAATTTATTTACCAATTTCATTAATTCATTTATATAATTTTCCTGATGTGTTTCAAATAATTAAATAAAGTCGATAAATGAAGGAGGATAATTAATTTTGGTATGTGCCAGTTCAGATATGGGAGACAACGAAAAGTTTACCAATAGTTTGAACAGTTATCATCATAGATAAACATACATATAAATAGATTAGTTTCCTTTTAATTTTTTGGTTTGATGATAATAATAAATAATAATAATAATGAATTCTTTACTTAAACAAAAGAAATCAATGAACGTTTTGCAATGCCTTTTAATCTTCTTTTTACTAGTAGATCTAGGTAAAGCTATTTTATTCATGAAATTATAATTTTATTAATTTTATTTTTATTTTGAAATTCATTAATATAAATATTTTCTCTTAATAAAGTAAAATCACAAATCACTGGAAATGATGTTGCAGATAAAGGAATTCACGTAGCTGTGAAAGGCGCCCTTATAGGATGTGCATTGCTAGTTGGTTCACTTATATCATATTTATGTTGTCGTAATAGGAGAAAAAAACAAAGTGACACTCCTTCAGCAAATAATAATAATAATGGTGTCGATACAGAAGTGAGACGGAATGTTGTTTAAATATGTAACAGTGTCTATTTAATTATTTCATATTTTAAATATAAATTCATTTTTTTGAAAATTGTAGAAAAATCAGCGTTTAGAAGTTAGTTTGATATTAAATAGATATAAGTATTGGGTTTTCGTCAATAATAAATAATAATAAATCAATTTTTTTTATTGTGTCGAATGACGCATCACCTGCCAAATGACGTAACATGTTGTGGCTGTTGATCATCAAACATACACTTGATCGCCAAAAGTTTATATCCAAAATTTCTTTTGCATTTACACAGACAGACTCGATAAGTCAGCCCGCAGTAATCAATTGTTTAAAGTACTCAATAGTATAAATTATGCGGCTGACTTATCGAGTCTGTCTGTGTATTACAAAAATATACTATATAAATATTTGTGATTTTTATGAAATAAAAATAAAAATAAAACCTGATATTGAAATCTTGAAATGTTGATCAATTTCTTTAAAAATGGGTAAAAATCACGAACTCACTGTAGCCCAAATATCTCAAATCACTGGTCTTTTCAAAGGTAAACATACCAGGAAAGAAATCAGCGAGATTACATAAATATTTTAGAAAATGAATTGTTGCTACTCATTCAAGAAAACTTCTCTACAAATCACTACAAATTTCAAGATGATAACGCACCTGTTCATACAGCAAAAAATGTTATAAAATGGTTATCTGAAAAAAAAATAAGGATTATGAAGATTGGCCTTCTCAATCTCCACTTATGAGATGAGCTTGGTAGAAGATTAAAAAAGCGTTCCTACATCCAAAAAATAAAGATGAATTAGAAAATTATTTGAGAGAAGAATGGCAACAAATTCCGTGTGAAAAATATTTGAGATTAA